AAGCCCTGCAGAAATTGAAAACTTTTCAGTATTGACTGGGCAAAACCATAGCAGTAATTCACAAAAACCACTGGTAGAGGATTAAACCATCCTACGCTCTCTCTCTCTCTCTCTCTCACACACACACACACACACACACAACATCAATGAGAACATCCGCATTTGCTAGAAAGTTCCTCCATATTATTATATCAAACTAAGATATGCTACATGAAATACACCAGACTCTAATTCTTGAACATAACATAAAATTAAATGAATTATGATATTTCAAATATGCACCATACATCACATGCATCTGAACTATCTTCACCACAGTAAGGATAATAGGAAATATTTCCACCCCCTTCACCAATTCCATCTATTATTGGTACATTAACAATGCAACCCTATATAAACATGTTTATTAGGCAACACATCCAACTCCGTTCACTGGGAATTACTCCCATGTTAGTGTACTCGGTATTGCAGCCCAAAGGTCCTGTCACAGATTTACACCCCACCCACCACAGTCTACCCCAACTGTGTCCTTCAATTAAAATGACAAATCCTCCATTATTCAACCTTATTGGAAGAGTAAAAATACATTGAGAACATTTAAGAAAGACTGAATCTATTCCTCCTGAAACTGACTGCTAATTTAAGACACAACCCCCGTCTTCCATACTTAAACCATTCACCATTGCTCCTTCTTATGGTTTAGGATGCACTTAAAGAGCAATATGTTTTTTGAATGATACATTCGAGCAACCCAGACAACAAGCACCAAAAGAAAGCCAATTTAGCCCCCTAAATCTGCCCAAGTAATTGCCTAAAATGGGTTTCCTGGCAACAAGAGAGTAATTGCTCAGAAGCACACCCTAATTTAAAGACAGGGATACAAGTGACTACTTAGAAATACATACACCTACACCCCTCACCCACCTCCTTTGTACCAAGCTTGCAAAATCCTGGAGCTTGGTAGCAGAGTACCTAAAGAAACAAGGCATCTAACTCAACAGCTGATGAGAATGATAAGAATAGCAGCACTATCTTCCCTTCCCAAAAACCAACTTCTTCCTTTGGTACTCACTCTGGACCCAGAGTTTTGCTGAAAAGTATGCTTCCTTCTCTCTCTTCCTTCTGGAGAATTACATTGATGTGAGAAAAGGAGTTCCCCACCACTGCCTTTGGCAGACTATTTGAGGACTAGGGGAACATCTAGGAAGGGCAAACAGGATTATTTGTGGGAAAATGAATGGAAAAGAAGGGAGCAAAGCTTTTAACAACTGAGTGAGTAGGTTACACACACATGATGCAGGCAATGGGGGACTGAAATGCCAGGATATAGACCATGCAAAGTAGGAAAGTATGTGGACTTATGTGCATGCTTATGTATATAACATCACTGTCTTTCATAGTGGGGGACAAAAGGTCCAGATATTCCCCCCCCCCCCCCATTATTTCCTTGTGGTCAACGTGCACCATCTTCCCATGCACCGTTATATCAAATGGAAACAAAAATGGGTCACCAGGAAGCTATGGACTGGGGGAAAATTCAGAAATGGCAAAGGGAGGAGGAAGACCTAAGGAGATGCTATCAGCTGAAAAATGCCTATGGCTTGTTGTTTGCTTTTCTCCAGAAACCAGGGTGGTGTAAGCCTTTGGCACATAGAAGCCAGAGCTTTTCTCTCTCTCTTCCCCTGGAGCTATAAACATAGAAATACAACCAATCAGGAAAGATCTCAAAGAGGCAGCTAGCTATGCTCCCTTTTTTCCAGGAAAGTAAAGAGTCAGTTCTCTGGTATCTTGGAGACCAATGGATGATGGTATGAGATTTTGTGGCATTAGTCAACTTTCCTCATGTGCAAGGAATTCTTCCCAGTGGACAGACATGGTTAGAATCAGGGCTTCATTGATAAAAACAAGCCCATGCTCAGGGCATCAAGGAAAACAAGGCAGCACAGACATTTCCTGTGGCCGATTTGTCCTGGACCATATGGTGCAAACTTGATGAACTAGGCTCCCCCAAAATAGACGCTCACAATCAAAAGTTGGGCAATGAGAAAACTTGTATATGTTTCAAAGTGGACATATACAAAAATTAAGTAGTATTCTCCAGCTTACTATAACTTGAAAAATAAAACTGTATTTGATGGTTTATATTCCCAATTGGTGGCACCCATGTCTTTTAAAGTGGTGAGGGCCAATAGAGTCTCAATCTGGTTAAAGGAGTGGTGGGGTTATAAAATAGGAGCTATGGGAAGTCCGAAAAGGTGATAGGGAAGGAGGGAGGGAGGGAGGGAGGGAGGGAGGAAGGAAGGAAGGAAGGAAGGAAGGAAGGAAGGAAGGAAGGAAGGGTAGGGGAGAAAAGGTAGAAAGGGAAGAAGGGAGAGGAAGGAGAGAGGAAAGGCCAGTAGAGGGGAGAGAAAGGGAGACCGCCTCACCCACAAACTCATTTCATTCCCTCAGGTGTAGTTGACACCTGCCAGTCCTCCGGCCTCTAGTGTCCCTTGTAAAATCCAGATTATTTTCTCTGAACTGGACTATATGGAAGTGTAGACTCATAGAATCCAGTTCAAAGCAGATAATATGGATTATCTGCTTTGATAATCTGGATTTTATGGCAGCGTAGAAGGAGCCAATGAGACTAATCAATTTTATAAGTTATATTGAGGTTATTTTATTTTATCTTTTGCCTTGGCTGCTCTTTATTTATTTTGGGGCTTTTAATGTTTGCCACTTTTGTTATTTCTTGTAAACTGCCCTGAGTCTCTTCAGAGAAAGAGGGCAGACTATAAATAAATTCTTATTCTTGTTGTTATTGCATGAGCTTCTATAGTGCTGGTTAACATCCCTAAGATGGCCAAGAAAGGTTTGCAGGGGAGAGGGATATAAACTGGGGGCCCTTCCACACAGCCTTAAGGTTAAGGTAAAGGTTTTCCCCTGACATTAAGTCTAGTCGTATAGGACTCTGGGGGGTGGTGCTCATCCCCATTTCTAAGTTGAAGAGCCAGCATTGTCCGTAGAAACCTCCAAGGTCATGTGGTCAGCATGCCACCAAGGCAGTACCTGTTGATCTACTCACATTTGCATGTTGTCAAACTGCTAGGTTGGCAGAAGCTAGGCCCAACAGCGGGAGCTCACCCCACTCCCTGAATTTGAACCACCAACCTTTCACTCAGCAAGTTCATCAGCTCAGCAGTTTAATCTGCTGTGCCACCAGAGGGCCAAGATACAGATGGTCCAAAAAGGTATGCAGGGAAGAGGGCTATAAACTGGGGGCCTTTGCACACAGCCATGTAACCCAGAAAATCAAGGAAGAATAACCCACAATATCCACTCTGAAATGGAATATCTGGGGCACCTTTTCACACAACTGAGTAAAATCCCACATTTTTGGCTTTGACCTGGAATATATGGCAGTGTGGACTTAGCCCAGTTCAAGGGAGATATTGTAAGTTATTCTGCCTTGATATTCTGGGATATATAGCTGTGTGGAAGGACCCTGAGTCTACACTGCCATATAACTCAGTTCAGAGCAGATAATGTGAGATTTTAGTGTGGAAGATGCCTGGGAGCTATAGCAAGGGAAAAAGACGGGCAGGGAATGAAGGAGAACCACCCTGGTTTAGACTCATTTCACTCCAAATGTGCTTGAAACTAGCTTTTAGCAGAAACAGAGGTTTCTTCTACACAGACACATAACCCAGAATATCAAGGCAGAAAATCTGGCAAAATCTTCTTTGAACTGGGTTATCTGAGTCCAGACAGTGTGGGATTCCCTGCCTTTATATTTTGGAATATAGGTCTGTGTGGAAGGGCCCCAAGTTTACACTGTGTGTGTGTGTGTGTGTGTGTGTGTGTGTGTGTGTGTGTGTATCTCCCACACTCAGATAACATGCAATTTTCTGCCTTGATATTCTGGAATATAGGGCCTTGAGTCTACACTGTATGTATGTGTGTATCAGTTATGAACAGATAATGTGGGATTTTATTCAGCTGTGTGGAAGTGGTCTGGGAGCTATAGAAAGGGACTGAAGGAGAACCACCCTGGCTTAGGCTCATTTCACTCCAAATTTGCTTGAAACTAGCCTTTAGCGGAAGCAACACAGAATCCAGAGGTAGGGTCCTTCCACACAGCCATATAACCCAGAATATCAAGGTAGGAAATCCCACAATATCTGCTTTGAACTGGGTTATCTGAGTCCACCAGATAGTGAGCGATTTCCTGCCTTGATATTCTGGGATATCGGGCTGTTTGGAATGGCCCCTAGAAAGCTTTCTTATTTCTCTCTCTTCTGCAGATTGAAAGATAGAGAATCCACCACATTCTCCTAATGCTGCCAAAGTAGAGAGTCCAGGACTCTGACCTCCAAGAGGGAGGAGCAGGAGCTTTTGTGGTGCTGGTCAACTTTCCTCAAATACAACGGGCAAGAACGGTTCAAGGAGAGGGAGACGCTCTACACTGGGAGCAATGGGAAGCCTGGGAAAAGGACGGGAGGGAGGGAAAGGGCCCCAGCCCGCCCTCCCACTGCTGTGGCTCCCTCAGGTGTGGCTGACTGACACACCAGCCCTAGCAGCATAGCATTCGAAGCCTCCCAAGGCGGCGTCTCTGGCGCGCTATTCCGCGCTCGCGGGGAGCCTCTAGCGGACGAAAAGGGAATCGCATCCAAAAAAAAGATAAGAGGAAAGACCTTCGTTGGGCGGCTGGAGGAGCAGCTCACCTGGGCTGCCCCTTTTGGCCCTTGCTTTGCACTCTTTCGGGGGGAGTCAACACACCTTCCCACGAATCCCTCGCAAGAGAAAACACACTAAGCATTTAGGGATCAATTGAGACACCGGAAAGTCCCACCGATGGAAAGAGAGCTCTATCTTCCACCGCATTCCCTCTCTGCAAGCTCTCTTTTAGGTACATTCACACAAACAGCAACTTTTCGCTCTCCATCAGGCTTTAAAGGGGTGGGAAAGGTATCATTTGGACGCTTAGGAAGGAAAGAAGGAGCCCGGCTTTGGCTTACCTGGCTGCCGTCGAAAGCGCCCCTTGAAACCCAAAGCAGAAGCCACGTTTCCAAGGCTTTCCCTTCGCTTCCGTGGGGCGCGGAAAAAAGAAGACTCTCAAACCCACGGAGCAATCCACACAAAACCCACCGACTCAAACAGCTTTTGAAGTTGAACACGGGTAGAGAAGACAGATAGCAATCCCCCCACGTTTCCACGCGAGGATCCAAGTGAAGAGGGGTCGGAAAGAGGTGTTCCACTGGTCCACGGACAACAAACCCAAAGGAAAGCGCAGATCTTCTCTTTCTCTCTGCTTCTTTTCCCTTCCTTCCTTCCTTCCTTCCTTCCTTCCTTCCACGCCTCGCGTTGCTTCTTGTCCTCTCTCCTTTTGCAAAACCCTGTCCTTCCCGCTTCAAGGGAAGGAAACTTTCCGGGGAGAAGGTAGAGTGGGGAAAAGAAGAAGAGGAGAAAGCGGGGTTTCAGAAGAGGAGGAGAAGGAGAAAGGGAAGCCGCATCCGCCGCCGCATCATCCTCCCGGCTTCCCAGGGAGCCCAGGGCACGCGCGCGCGCCAAAGCGAAGCGAAGCGAAGCGAAGGGGCGCGCGACCAAACCCCGCTTTGCAACCAAACCCAAGGCTTCCTTCTCGCCCCAGCAAAAGGGCGGAAAGACAAACGCCGAGGCAACGCCAAAGCTGCCTTTACCACATTGCCTTTTACTCTTCCTCTCTCTGCAAAAGGCAACGGAGAGCCGGCGTTTAACCCTCTCGCTGCTCTCGCCGCTCGCCCCAAAGCGCCATCCAGGGAGAGAGCCGTATTGCTCCGAATGCAAGCGCCCAATGGCTTCGGTGACACCCTAGGATTGGATGCGATTTGACACCCCTCTTAATTCACTATAGGCTCAACGCTCTCGGAGCAAGGGAGTTGCCCTTTCTGCCCGATTAAAAGCAAAAAGCTGGTGCTTCCCCATACTACAAATCCCTCCGCTTTTTCCTTCGTTCCCCAGCGTTGCTTAGGGCACGTCTATACACTGTAGGCACATCTATACACTTGGCATCTCGGGAAATTGCGGTTTCCCAAGGTCGTGAGCCTCCTCTCTCTGCCCAAGACTCTTCGCCAACTAGAACTCCTAAGGATTCCCTCGCGGGGCGGTGAAAGTGGGGCCCGAACTGCCTCCATTCTACAGTATGGGGGGGGGGGGGGTTGATGCGCGTCTTTCCCCCAAGCAGTAAGAAGCCACCCCTTGAAAACTGCTAGGCCATTAAATGCTAATCACGGTGGCCAACTGAAACATCCACACCTACCTCCAACAGGCAAGAGTTCTTTCTCCCACCTTGGACTTTCCACAGATATATAAACCCCATTTTCCTAGTTTGCAACAGACCTCACAACCTCTGAGGATGCCTGCCATAGATGCAGGAAAAACGTCAGGAGAGAATGCTTCTGGAACATGGCCATACAGCCCGAGAAACTGACAGCAACCCCCGCATCTTTCTTATGTGACACTTTTGTTTTTGGATAGTCCCGCCTATTAGGAGGTGGGTGGGAGGCTCAGCTGGCAGAGTTGGCTGAGAAGAAGGTGGGATGCATCCACACTGGAGAATGGATGCGGGGTGCCTTGAAAGAAGTGACAAGTGGGGTGCCCCAAGCAGGGTTCTGTCCTGGTCTTGATCCTGTTCAACACCTTTATTAACGACTGAGATGAAGGGTGAGAAGGCATCATTATCAAGTTTGCAGAGGACACCAAAATTGGAGGGATAGCCAATACCCCAGAAGACAGGAGCAGAATTCAAGACGATCTTAACAGATGGGAACAGTGTTTCTCAACTTTCCTAATACTGGGACCGACCTTTAATACAGTTCCTTCTGTTGTGGTGACCCCCAACTATAACATTTTTGTTGCTACTTCATAATTGTAATTTTGCTATTGTTATGAATCATCATGTAAATATCTGATAGGCAAGGTGTATTTTCATTCACTGAACCAAATTTGGCACAAACATCTGATACGCCCAAATGTGAATACTGATGGGGCTGGGCAGGGGGGGGGGGAGATTTATTTTTTCATTTGGGAGTGGTAGTTGCTGGGATTTATAGTTCGCTTGCAATCAAAGAGCATTCTGAACTCCAGCAACAATGGAACTGAACCAAATTTGGCACACAGAACTCCCATGACCAACAGAAAATACTGCAAGGGTTTGGTGGGCATTGACCTTGAGTTTTGGAGTTGTAGTTCACTCACATCCAGAGAACACTGTGAAGCAATGATGGATCTGGACCAAACTTGGCAAAAATACTCAATATGCCCAAATGGAACACTGGTGGAGTTTGGGGAACATAGAACTTGACATTTGGGAGTTGTAGTTGCTGGGATTTTTAGTTCACCTACAATCAAAGAGCATATGGAACAGCACCAATGATAGAATTGGGCCAAACTTCCCACACAGAACCACCATGACCAACAGGAAATACTGTATTTTCTGATGGTCTTTGGTGACCCCTCTGATACCCCCTTGTAACCCCTCCTTCGAAAATTCTTACTACAGGCCATAGTAACACATGGCAGGGCACAGCTAGTTGATTATAAAAAGATGCCTTATCTTGCCTACACAGAGAGACTACTTAAAATTCTATTGTAATTCAATTCAAATACAAAGTACCTGTATGCTGAATACATGAAATTTGTGAGAAAATCTACTATGTTACTTTTAAAGAAGGCTTTTATTTTGTCTCTTGAGAGCATGATTGAAAGGCAAATATATTTTAAGGAAGAGTAGATGTTTTGGGGCATCTAAAAGGAACACTTATGAAACTGCTGAAATGTGTGTGTGTGTGTGTGTGTGTGTGTATAATGTTTGTTTGTGGGATTAACGTAACTCAAAAATCACTGGACAAATTGAGACCAAATTGAGACACAACACACCTATCAGGGCAACGAGTGACCATCACTCATAAAAACACTGGAAAACACAGCAAAAGAGACGTAAAAAGCCCAAAAACAAAAAGTACATTGCAATGCATGCACAAAACCACATATATACGCAAACACACATATATACACATATACACAAATATATATATACACACATATACACATAAATGCTTACACAAAACACATATACACAGACTGGGGACAGCTTGTGTATGTGTGTGTGTGTATATATGTGTATGTGTTATGTACTGACATATCTTTGTCCCTAACAATTTAAAGACATAGGTACAAGAGTTTAACAGCTGAGAAATCTAGGACCCTTCCACACAGAATATCAAGGTAGAAAATCCCACAATATCTGCTTTGAATTGGGTTATCTGAGATCCACACTCAGATAATGTGGGATTTTCTGCCTTGATATTCTGGCATATAGGGCTGTGTGAAAGGGCCCCTAGTTGCCTTGCATGAATGCTGGTAAATGCCATTTTCCCAAAAGAGTTATGACTCTAAAAGGTCATGCTTTTTACCAAGAGTTTATGCATCATTTTTCAAAAAAGGTTGTGACTTCTAACAAGGTCATCCCTTTCCAAAGATCATAACTTCTACAAAAGGTTCTGGAGATTTCCGTTTTCCAAAAGGTCATGTGACTAATAGTTTTCCAAAACCCCTCTCAGCCTTCTTTTCTTTAAGATAAACTCAGCTCCTTCTTAAAGTGTGGTTTCCAAACCTTTGCTCATGTTGGTTGCCATTGTCTAGACAGGTTCCAGCTTGTCCATATGCATCTTGAATTGTGATGCCCAGAACTGGAGACAGTTTTCCAGATGAGGTCTGCTCACAGCAGAATTGAATGAGTTTCAAATTCGCCAGCCAGGGTATAGTTTTTATGATGTTAATTGATTTTAATATTTTTTTATTATTTGTTGTTATTGATTGTTTTGACTGTGTCTGATTCATTTGTAATCCTTGGGCTTGTCCTTCTATAAGCCTCCCCGAGTCCTTTCGGGGAGATCGAGGCAAAGTATAAACATAAAATTATTATTATTATTATTATTATTATTATTATTATTATTATTATTATTATTATTATTATTAGACTTTGACTACCCTCGATCTGGGCACTATACTCTTATTGGTGCAGCCTAGAATCACATTGGCCTTTTTTAGCTGCTGTGTCACACTATTGACTACTCAGCTTGTGGTTAATTAAGACTCCCAGATCCCTTTCACATGCACTGTTTTCAAGCCAGGTATCATACATCCTATATCTGTGCATTTTTCCTGTTGAAATTCAGCTGCTTAGTTTTCCTCTTCTATGCAAGCATTAAAGAGATGGGTTTCCTCTCTTGTTTTCAATCTGTAACTCTAAGGAGTTGGGTATTTTTTTTTCCTTACAAGATCTATAGTAGTACAAGACTTTTCATTCCTTAATCAGGATGGAGATTGCAGTCAAGAGATTGGAAAAAGATTTGGCAGAGTAACTCGGAAGGAACTAGAAAAGATCCTGAAATGTAAATGTGTCTCTGTAATGCCACAAGAAACACTCCCAAAGGATGTCATGTGCATGACCACTATCTCTGGGCTGAAATTCATCATCATCACATGGAGTTCAATCACCTTTCCAAGTCGATTCAGTACATCCTGGAAAGAAGTGGCAAGTGGAGTGCCACAGGGTTCCGTCCTGGTCCTGTTCAACATCTTTATTAATGATTTAAATGTAGAGTTAGAAGGCATAATCAGCAAGTTGGCAAATGACACCAAATTGTGAAGGATACCCAGTACCCCAAAAGACAGGAGCACAATCTTAACAGATTAGAGAGATGGGCCAAAACTAACAAAATGAAGTTCAATAGGGACAAATGCAAGATACTTCATTTAGGCACAGAATGAGGGATGCAGAATGAGGGAATGCCTGGCTCGACAACAGTACATGTGAAAAAGATCTTTGAGTCCTTGTGGACAACAAGTTAAACATGAGCCAACAATGTGATGCAGCGGCTAAAAAAAGGCAATGGGATTTTGGCCTGTATAAATAGGAGTCCAGTGCCTAGATCCAGGGAAATCATGCTACCCTCTATTCTGCCTTGGTCAGATGACACCTGGAATACTGTTTCCAATTCTGGGCACGACAATTGAAAGGAGGTGTTGACAAGCTGGAATGTGTCCAGAGGAGGGTGACTAAAATGATCAAGGGTCTGGAGAACAAGCCCTATGAGGAGCAGCTTAAAGAGCGGGGCATGTTTAGCCTGCAGAAGAGAAGACTAAGAGGAGACATGATAGCCATGTATAAATATGTGAGGGGAAGTCATAGGGAGGAGGGAGCAAGCTTGTTTTCTTCTGCCCTGGAGACTAGGACGTGGAACAATGGCTTCAAACTACAGAAAATGAGATTCCACCTGAACATGAGGAAAAA